TAGTATATATAAGAAGAAAAGCAACACAGAAAGGGTGGGGGAGAGCAACAAGTCATATAGAATTAATTAACCTTCTATCCCTCCCAGAAATGAAGGTAGTGCAAATGTGAAGCAGATTCATGTCAGTCAGATGTATACTGAAAACCCTAAAGCTATTAGAAAAATAACAAAACATACTGAAAAAGAAAATCACTGAAAGTACTAAAATATGACGAGAAAGTACTGATATCATGATAAAGAAAGCATAAAGAAGGAATGGAGGAACAAAAACCCAACCCAAATAGTGAAAATAGAAACAAACAAAACTATGTCAATAAGGAAATTAATGTAAATGCATTAAAGAATCCACTCAGCTTGTCAGACTAGATAAACAAAACAAAACATCAAAATAAAACAATAGACAAAAGTCTTACAGGAGATATACTTTGGGTTTAAAGTTGGCAATAAGATAAAATTATAAGTCTGGAAAAAAAAAAAAAAAACACCATTTAAACATCAACCTTAAGGGAGTGGAATGGCTCTACCACTGTCAGTAAAATGGGCCTGTGACTATACTATATTTTCCACTAAGGGCAACACTGATAGAAAATGTATTTACTGAAGAAATATGTTGCATGGTAAGCATCAGGGATATACTATAAGTTGGGCAGTAAATGACAGAAATCTGTTTGTTGGTCTTTATGTGTTTATGTCTTACTGCTAAAGAAAACATCTTATGCACCCTAAAAGACAGCCTTTTAAGGTATGGATCTAACTTTCTGTGTTAATTTTGTACCTTTGGCTCAGAGGTAAAACTGAACTTGCTAGTTCTTTTTGTGAGTTTAAAAAAACTGTCTTTTCAATCAGAGATAAAATTCTCTTTGTTTGCACTCTAGGAATAATTAGTCCATACAGGTACTAGATTCCACGTAATTTTAAATTTCACAGAGCTTCTGACCTGATTGATTTATATAGATTAATAAGAATTTATGTAATTCAAATTTAGGAAAATAATAAACAGAGAAGAAACTGAACTATTCCATGAAATTTCTAACCAATAAAGCATTTTATGTAAGAATATAAATCCACTAAGTCAAAGTGAATCTTGGGAGGTATCAAAGTAGCTTGATAATTTTGGATTAAAGTGGCTTTGTGAAAACCACAATGAGATATCACTTCATTTCACATGCAACATGATGGTTATTAATCAAAATGACAGATAATAGCAAGTACTGATAAAAAATGTGGAGGAAATGGATCTCTTATTATTGCTGTGCTGCTGCTTGAGAAAGCAATTTGGCAGTTTCTCAAAATATTAAACATGGAGTCATCACATGACCAGGAAATTCCACTGCTAGGTGTTTAAATAAGAGATCTGACAATTCATACTCACAAAAATATTAGGAAGATTGTCCACAGTTACTCTTAAGCTCTGGAAAGCTGATCCTACCACAGCCCTTTTCTTATCTTAGAAAAGGCTCATTTTCTATAGCTTGATGAATTTCTTATCCCTACTATGGATTATTTTCACACTAATTTGTGAAATCATTATTTCTTGAAACAGACTTTATAACTATTAGAAATGATTTCGGAAGGAGAAAAAAACCATACTAACCAGGCCTATAAACTTCCTAACCATTACTGAATATCAGCAAATATTTCCAAAATAGTAATGCTAAATGCAAGAGATTAAAATTCCTTGAAAAACAGTGTAGCAAATTCTGAAAGCACATTTGTAATTAAAATTTCACAGCTTTCTGACTTATCTTGCATAACAGTTTTTTGAACTTGATGTTTTATTCCCCTCTAGGATAAGCACAACAAAATCAGACAAAACACCTTGAGAAACCTAATCAACCAAATTGCCTAATGAAAGTTCTCCTCTTGATGCATACTAACATTTTTATTGATATATTTATCTAAATTTATACACTTTTATATATAGGTCTAGGTATAGAATATCTTTAGGGGAAGAATCTCTAAGAAAAATTCTGCCAGAGAAATCCATTCAAGTATCTAGAAGAAAAAAAGAAAACAAGAAGGTGGGTCCAGATAAATCTTAAAATCACTTTTTTGAGTGAGGAAAGGTTGTAAATTACGACCATATGCTTAGCCACGCCATGGACTAAATATGAATAACTGAGGAGATTTTTCATAATAATAATAAATATTTAATGCAATCATTCAAATCATATTTTAAAATAGTTATGCTTCTGCTGATTTGCTTGTATTTATTTAATTCTAGCAAGAGGAAAAAAAATTAAATTATTACTTTGATTTTTTAAAAGCAGAGTCTATAAGGGGGAGATTTTTATGTTGTTAAAAATCAACCATCTCACAGATAATACCATATGAAAAGGATAGTTTCACACTCAACTGTTATTGTTTAATTCCATTCAAAACTTACCTTTTATAAGTATCTTAAAAATGAAAACACATTTTGTTTCATTAACATAATATTTAACATAATTTTTAAGAGCAACACTAATGAAAAGTTATAAGGGTTCAGATATAAAATTGTGAGTTTGTAAACATAATGCCTCATTACCTTGATATAAAATAGCATTTTTACACATACTTTAAAAATCTTATGTATGTATAACTTTCACATTTTGAAAGGATAAGAAAATTGTTGGGTGTTTTTTTTTTCAGAGTGAGGCTGGCATTTATTATAAAATATTCTTTAAAATCCTGACACTTCTTGTGAAAATATGAATAAATTAAAAATGTACCAAATTCACTTTTAGTTACTATATTCAAACTAATCCATCCCACTCAAAATAAATTAATAACAATGGAAATTTATGGGGAATCCCAAAGGAATTGAATTTGGATGATTCAATTCCACTGACTTACTATGGAAAAGTGTTAATGGTATCAAGGGAGCTATCTAAATTCAATCCTCTGCCACCAAATAGAGTCTAACAAAGATAAAAGCAGCAGAAACAGGCTATGGGAGAATTTTAAAGTATCTACATATTTAGGCTGAAAGATGGGTTTCAATGAAATAAAATATAATCATAATTTTACCAATAAGACTATGATCATGTACAAAATAATTTCTTATTAAAACCTATCATATACAACCATTTCAAAATGATTCATTATAATAGCCATTTTCTTTATAAAAATAGTCCATAATCTTCCAATTTATTATTAGACAAGATTTAGGCTAAGATGAAATTTTAGAGCTAAATACTGTTGCCTAAAAAATATGACAATGAACATTTCACTGGACTTAATAAAAAAAATTATACATTAGCCTTTCTCAGGCTTTCTCTAGAATTTTAATCACATTTCTTCTCCAAGTTAACAAACCAAGAAGAACTCATTATTGTTTTATTGATCAAGATGAATATTGGTTTTGGAAAAGTTTTAGACATCCTTTTTCTTTTTCCCTTTTCAAACACACACACACACACACACACACACACACACACGTGAACACACCTTCCTGCAAATCATAATGTGACAACCAAAAATAAAAGTGCTCAGAGGAAGTAGGAAAGGACTGGCAATTGGTACTTTAATACTCTGTTATTTCTTTAACAATTCCAAGACAAAATCTGACTTTGGTTTCCTTGGACTAGAAAGGCAATTCATTGAAGAATTGCCTCAATAGGCTCAAAAAAGTTTTAAAATAAATTATGACTGAGTACTAAAAGTAGTAGATACAAAGCAATTTCACCAAAATGATGAAAATAATTGAATGTGAGTATATTGCATATAATCTTTCCATTCTATTTTTAGTCTGAGAACCACCAAATCCACTAGAATTCTCATTGTGCAGTTAGTTATTGTAACAAGCACCAACCACCTTCCCACAGGGGAAGTCCTATAAAAGAACAGCAAGTCTGGCCAGCCCTTCAGGAGTGCACAATGCTAGCATTGGTATTTACTTACACTTTTACTCTTTAAAGGAATTTAAAATCATCCACATTTCAAATTTAGACTCATCTAAAGTAACAATAATTATGAAACTCCGGGTATAAAATTCTAGTTATATTTTTTCTATTACAGTATATTATTATATGAAAGTAATATCTCCTAAATATTCCCACATACCACCAATACTGCAGGCAAAACATTTAGTGAAAACAGATTACCCTATATAATTTGTCAAACTGATTTCTTTTTCACAGAAAAAAACTGATGAACATATATTAGCATGAAGTTTAAAAACAGATTAATTTTCAATGTAATGTCATGCTTGCTAATTATGCACTGTAGTACATCATTTGAGCTTTAAAAATATGAACAAAGGCAGTTGAGTTGACATGTGAACTGAAATACTCATTGCTTCAGTCTCATAGTGGAAGACTAATGAGTTGTGAGGAAGTTATAATTTACACCAAATGAAGATATAAAGAGTATATACAAAGGAGAGATTGACTGAAGATTCCCCTTGAGTCCTATCTTCCCAAGAACAAAGAGCCTTTGTGGTTTCTATAGTGGATAAGAGTTAAAAGTGACCTCTAGTTCCCCTAAGAAGTGATTTCTATGCATGGAGAGGAAAAAAAATGGGGGGGATGTGGTTCAATATTATAATTCTGCTACATATGTTCATAGGAAAATAATTTTATCTTGATATCTTGATTTGAATTTTATCCATTTTCTATATTGTCAGTATATCCCATTCATTCTATAATAATGTTTCAAATCACCTGCCTTTGCATCTAATCAGTGTTCAGAAAGGTAAAGCCCATTTTAGTTTATTGTTCCTGAAAGCAGATGGAATAATTCTCAAAGCTAAATGAGCTAAAAAGACAAATGAGCTCATAATGATATACTATATTAAAATTTCACTGTCCTCATGAACTCAAACAACCCAGACTTTACATATTAATGTAATATTCTGTCATGTTCATCTTTTTATTTTCAGGAGAACTGGGAATGTGTTCTTCCCAGCATTTAATTTCTTTGTGAAATATAGTGACTAACAATAGTAAGTGCAACATTCACTTAATAAAATTCACAACAATATAATAACAAATGATAGAAAAGAAAGCATGGATTCTAACCACTTTGTCCTCCTTTGGGAAAGCATCCAAGGAAGCAGAGTAGAGAGAGAAGAAAAAGAAGAAGAGAAAAAACAAAATGAGCCATATATTAATAAATTGATTTTAATGAAACAATTATGTATTTCTTCAAAGTGTTAAAATAGTATTTTGAAAAGTAAATCCTTCATTTAAAAATGAACATGTGAATCCTATTCTACATTAGATACAATAATTGGGCACAATAATTTCCTAAATTTGTAGAATCCAGATCATAAATCCAGTTTTAAAATATTCTTCAAAACGAAAAGTTAATTTACTACATATTAGCTTACTATGGAAAGTAAATATTTTCTTAAAATGCATATAATTGTACTAAATAATTTTATCAAGTTAATGTTAAAATGTGTATAGTCATAATTTAGAGAAATATAAGAGTGGGAGCTGTTTTAAAAAACAAAAACAAAAATGTGAAGAGAAATATGTTAACTATTTTAGCCATAAATTATTTCAAAAGCAACTTAACATTTTTTTTTATATTTAACATGATAGTAAATCTGAAATTACTATCACAGAGGCTAATAATTGTTTAATATGTTTTCTTGGGTTACATGTAAGGACACACAATTTATCCTGCCTCATACCTCCATTCAATTTGAAAATTTAGGTTGCAGAAACCAAAAATGTTTAACATTTGGTTTTTTACAAGAAGAATGAGTCATAACAATTTACAAGGATTCTATAATTCATCAGGCTACTCAATCTTCATTTACTACATTATTCAAAAATAAATTTACCCTCACAGATAATCTCATGTAAGTATGGAACAGGAATTTTCCATCAGCTATCTTTTTTATGATTCGAATTCTCAGCAGTGGAATTCGTGTATCACTAACACTACAAGGAACTTTGTGAAAACACAAACAAAATGTGGAAAGCCAATGCTATTGTGTAGATATACATGTGGGTCAGTCGGTTCCTAACTTGCACATGTTTGATGCTTGGAGGAGACATGGTTTTGGTCCGCACCCACAGGCCTCTGTGTTCATGGGACACTCACGTTGTTCGACCGTAGAGATACGCGGCCTCCACAGCGGGCGCAGAACTTGGTGCGGCAGTAGGAGCAAAGGTGACCACACCCATCAGCAAACTTTGTCTTATGGCAAATTCCACAAGTTGGCGCATCATCTTTGTGCTCGCCCTGGTAACGCCGCGCTTCTTCCCCTATTTTTTTTACTTGTTCCTTGTAGCTTTCAAACTGTTGATGCAATCTCCTAGGCAAAAGAGACAATGGGGGTAAACTAAGTAAATGATGAAGAGAGAAGAAGACAATTTTTCCAAAGCAAAATGAACATATAAATGTATTAGTACTAGTTCTAGTTTAATTTACTGTTATACTTGTGTAGCATGGATAAAAGCACTGTTTGTCCCAGCAGTGGAATTCATGTATGGAGTGCACGCCTCTGCTTCTTTAAGACAGGTACCTTCCAAAATAGTTTAACTGGGCATTCAACATTTTACAACTACACCCGTGTGCATAAAGCTGAAGCCAAAACTAAACAAAATATGTTCTCTGATATTTTCTATTCTATTGAGTTTAATACTGAATATTTTTTTTACAGTCAATTGATTCCATAACCCACTATTTGAACATGCTGCATACTTTGAAAAACACTATTTTATACTACATTGCTAGGTAATCTGTCTTCCACAAAATGTCTTCCTTTGCCTTCATTCCTGGAGAATACTTCCTATTTATTTGGCATCTGAGTTGTAAATGATTTAGTGCAGTATAAAGAAATGTTGGCTTATACATGATATTTGAACTCTCCAGTTTTTCCACATCACATAAAAAGTTTTAAAACACAACGTGCAAATATAAAAAAAGTTTGAAACCATACCTTGCATATATTTAGATTTTTTTACATATCCCTATTTTTCTCCATCTCAATCAAGTTATCTGTATGAGGGCTGCTACTAGTGATAATTTTGTATTGGTTGTTCAAAACATTACAAAGCTCTTGACATATCATATTTCATACATTAGATTTAAGTGGGTTATGAACTCCCATTTTTACCCCAAATACAGATTGCAGAATCACATTGGTTACACATCCACATTTTTACATAATGCCATACTAGTAACTGTTGTATTCTGGTACCTTTCTATCCTCTACTATACCCCTCCCCTCCCCTCCCATCTTCTCTCTCTACCCCATCTACTGTAATTCATTTCTCTCCTTGTTTTTTTCCCATTCCCCTCACAACCTCTTATATGTAATTTTGTATAACAATGAGGGTCTCCTTCCATTTCCATGCAATTTCCCTTTTCTCTCCCTTTCCCTCCCACCTCATGTCTCTGTTTAATGTTAATCTTTTCCTCCTGCTCTTCCTCCCTGCTCTGTTCTTAGTTGCTCTCATTATATCAAAGAAGACATTTGGCATTTGTTTTTTAGGGATTGGCTAGCTTCACTTAGCATAATCTGCTCTAGCGCCATCCATTTCCCTGCAAATTCCATGATTTTGTCATTTTTTAGTGCTGCGCAATACTCCATGGTGTATAAAGTGATAATTTTTGATGGCAAGAAAACCAAAGCTATTGAGGCAACCCATGTTCCATAAGAATGGTTTCAATGAATATAAGTTACATACCCCACCACCAGTTGAAGTTCCCCAATCTTAAATTACTATAAATAGAATTTTTTTTTGCTATTCTGAATAGAACACTATGTTATCTAGTAAATCCCCCAGTGAAAAGATGTCTTGGATTTGTAAATGAGAACTCAAGAGTTATCCTAAGCCTAGCCAGTAGCCATTGGCTATTTTGCCAGGAGAAACTCCTGGGAAATGGCTGATTAGATTCATCTATGTCTCTGAGCCTGTTTGCTGCATTTGAGTATTCCCCAGGACACAGGGTAGACACATGCTATTGTTAATTCAAGCAGTTGAATTAGCTTGATGCTCTGCATCTAAGAAACCTGTGAGGAACTCTACTCTCTAGATGCAGTATCAAGTAAGTTAGGTCCAAACACCATGATGTTTAAGGTATTGGGATTTCATTATGCTTTCCTGTTAACATCAAACAGAACTTTAATGATTAATTTCTGCCTTGCCAGTTGACCCTTTTCTACTAAATTCTTAAAATTAAAGCAAACATGCATGCACCAGCACATAAGTTAATATCTGAAAACATTTTCAGTTTAAAAGTGAGCTAATTTCATTTAACAGAATAAAACATACAATATTTTCTTTAATGAATGCAAGAATATCTGGCCAGTTTATTGAAGAATTATTTGATTCTTTAAACATTTATACTTCAAGTACCATTAATCTAGGATAAAGTTGGTAGAAAACAACAATGGAAATCTACTATTTCAAAAATTACCATATGCAATAATACCAGAACTCTGACAAATATTTATTGTGAGACCCTCCCACCCCTGCAATCAAATCTATTTCAATAAATACCAATGAGAAAGCAAGGCTAAGAAGAGTTTCCTTATGAACTTATTCTATAATTCAGAACATGATTTAGTATGGGTACTGGCAAACTTTTCAGTAAAAGGTCACACTGTAAATATTTTAGGCATTGTGGGCCAGACAGTTTCTTTTGCAACTATTCATCTTCACTGTTGCAGGAGGAAAGCAACCATAGATAATACATAAATGAATGAATGTAGGTACGTTCCAATGAAAACTTGATTTGCAAAAATAGTAGGCCAGATTTGGCCCATGGGTTAGTTTACAAATCCCTAATTTAGTATATGTTTTATGCTAAGATGTAATAGAAAACCAAAGCATCCTTGTGTTTTTAAATTCAAACATAAATGTAAAGAAGTTTTATAGATCTTATAGGGTCTAATCAAAAGAGCATCTATCTCAGGAAATCTATTTTTTCCCCTGTTTGTGAGGCTTTGGGGATCAAACCCAGGACCTTGTGCACACTAAGCATGCACTCAACCATTGAATTACACCTCAGCCATGTGTGCAAATCTTTTCATAAAATATATATGCAGTACACTGACTACTGAGATAAAATCTTACTCTGCTGCAATCTCACAGCATTTCATTTAGTTACTCAAAGAATAATAAAATTTGTTATACACTCATTTATAAATTATTACTATTTCTATACATGATACCTCTCTTCTAGCAAGAGGAAATTCCCAGTTTAGCTAATAGTATGTAACTTCCTCAGTACCTACATACTGAACAGAAAAACTGTGTATTTATATATTTTTTTCTTAGTATATTTCATAAAAAAACAATTTACAACTAAATTCATGTGGAAGACAAAATATCCTTTAAAAAACCCTACTTTCCCAAAACATTAAAAATTATGGGTAAAGTTTTTTAAAATTAACTTTCAGTGCATGTTTGAGCTGGAGAGAAGGTATGTAAAATCCTCAAAACACAAAGGTAAAATGGGAGCAGTAATGGAAGCAGTAATATCAGAAACATAACTCTGAAGTAGGTATTTGTCCTAGGGACATGTACTGAGGCTCCATGACCAAGAACTTTAGTTTTAACTCTTGCACTTAGAATAAAATTAAAATTTTAGTCAGGTGTCTAGCAAAAATAATTGAAATAAAGTATATGGTATTCAAAGCATAGCAGGAAAATATACTGAATGAGGAAAAATCAATCCAAAAGAAGATAAAAATTAAAATAAATAAACAGAAAGCAAAATAATTACAAATTATGGAATGAGACGGTAGAAATGAGCTAACACAGCAGGAATCACATGTACAACGAACTAACGCATCATTAAAAGACAAAAGTGATCATATTATATATATATACACACACACACTCACACACACACACATATATGCTTAAAACATGTTGTTTTCCAGTATATCTATCTTGTAAGCATTTCTTTTTTTTCTATTTCATTTTTTATTTCTTCTTATTAGATATATATGTCAGTAGAGTATATTTTGACATACTATGCATACAGGCAGTGTAACTTACTCTAATCAGAATCCCATTCTTGTGTGGAACTTTGTGAGAAGTGACACTGGTCATGTATTCATATATGAACATACGAAAGTTATGTCCAGTTCATTCTGCTGTCTTTCCTATTCCCATCCTCTCTCACTTGACTTCATTCCCCTTTGTCTAATCCACTGGACTTCCATTACCGCCCCCACCCCAACTTATTGTGTCTTAGCATCTGCATATCAGAGAGAACATTTGGCTTTTGGTTGTTTAGGATTGACTTATTTCATTTGGCATGATAGTCACCAGTTCCATTCATTTATCAGCAAATGTCGTAATTTCATTCTTTTTAATGGCTGAGTAACATTCAAGTGTGTGTGTGTGTGTGTGTGTGTGTGTATATATATATATACATATATATATATATATATATATATATATATATATATATATATATAAAACGTTTTCTTTATCCATTCATCTATTGAAAGGTGCCTGGGTTGGTACCATATCTTAGCTATTGTACAGATAGACCATTAATCTCCAGGATATTTAAAGAACTCAATAAATATGTATTCAACTTGCAGATTAAAGTGTTTTTGGAATTGTGAAAGTGTTAATTACCAGGCAATTTCAACTTTTGATCATAGCTAATTGATACTTTAAGAACAAAAGCTGACTATGGAAAAACAAAAGCTATGCTGATAAACTCATGCCATGAAATCTCTATAGATTCTTTAGTTCTACTCAATACTAAATAATACTTCTGTTCATCTTCTAACTCCTCCTTAGCACTTATTCCCAAACTCTCTTCTAAAATTGACTTTAAGTTCTTTTTGAAACACCTAAAATATCATTTTGATGATTTGTGACCCAAAGGTCAGTTGCATAAACACTCTTGCATCTCAGAGTGCAGGGTCTCCGGGACCATGGCAGGAGGCAGCAGTCCTTCTCTAGTAGGCCATGGCAGGGGGGATGGTAAGATGAGGCTTCTCCACTGAGGCATGAGGGTGAGGTGTCTAGCAAGAAAGTGATGTCACTTTCTCCATGGTAGATCTTATAATAGTTAATAAGGTAGAAAGCCACCAGGAGCAATGCTCTCTTCCCCTAAGTGGCTTAGGATGGCTCTTTGCCAAGTGCTCCACCTTAAAGCTCATGAGACCATTTTCACAGGCATCAATTCACACTCTACCAGGACTCCTGTCCTTCTGGGTGCTGGCCCTTGGTGGCCTGTTCCCATCTGTACTCTCTTCACACGGTGTAGAAATTCCATCTGGGTTTCACCAACAGATCATATTTTTACTACTGGGTTAGCCATCCCAGCAGGAAGCAG